TATGATGAGGGGGGGGGGGGGGGGTCACGTTCATGGCCCGGAGAAGACTAATAAAACACTTGAGTACCCATGAAGTAAGATCAAAGATCAGTTCCACAATTGCCAACGTACTCTGATTGACACTATATCCAATCATGACATCTACTGAGCGACATGGCATTTTAATACCAAAAGAGCAAAGAAAGAACCATCATCTTGGTTGCTAAAATCAGCATGATGAAGGACTGATAGAACTGTAGGGTTCATAATTGATGGCACAGTATTCCAACACTAAAATAATGTCATTTGAAATTCTCCAGATGGAGTTTTTAAGAAACAGATGAATTTAGACCAGCTCTCTAGAATGTCAGAGCATAAAGAAGAATGGCCTTCAGAAGTGATCACAGAATATATGTAGTAAGATGGAAGACCATATTTCAGAAAAATAACACCACTAAAAGCACCAAGTCAACTGGCAATAAAGGGCTAGTAAACAAGACCTAGCAGCAATTTCAAATTGAACTGCCTTTACGATTTCAGGTGCTACAAGGGAGTATGAACAAACGAGTAATTGCAGGAAGCTGAAAGAGGGAAGGGATGTACTGTGAGTCAGCCATTCAGTGAAAAGAACTCCTCCATTGCTACCTCTGCTGAGCTTTTACTTACTGGTAAGAGCTAAGAAAACACATATGCAGTTACTGTAGAGCAGCTGTTGCATAGCAAGTTGCTGCCATGTTTTGTTTGTCCGTATTTACAGAACCACAACGCAGCGTATGCCCAATCTATACCGCACCTCCTGGCTGCATCACTGGCACAGCTGGAAGCTGCACAGGCAGGAAGAGGCACCCATGCTGCAGCTGAAGGAAGAGGGGGGGGGGGGGCAAGAAGAAATGGCAGTGGTGAGGGCTGCCTCCAGAATGTCTTCTCTGCCAGCTGTCTGCCTCACTGCAGGTGCAAGAATGCAGGAAACCACCTGCCCTGATTGCTGATATGCCACCGAAGGCACCCAGCCCACATCAGAACAGAGCCAAATTGTTCTGTCCCATGGCTTATTAAAGGTTGCCAACTACTGCACTACAAAAAGTCAATTTCCTCTCTCCTTTAGTAATATAGAGGTTGTGATAACTATTTAATTTCCAAAAATTCAGACCTAAAATGTAAACAACTGAGGACAGACACACAGACCTGTGAGAGAGGAGTGAAACCAACTCCGAGCAAAAGACTCCAGAATAAGCAGCAGCAAAAATCTACTAAAATCAAAGGACCAAACTACAAAAAGCAGCATGTAGGAAAGGCAAAGTAATCACAGACTTGAGCGAGTAGTTGAACATAGACATGTATGTGTATCATCTTACCTATCTTGTTTGCTATTCCCATCAACTTTATTATGAGAAAGTGTTTGGATACAAAATAAGCATTAGATTGTTTAACAAAATTATAAGAAAAGATTCAGATTTTGCTTATGTTTCATTTCTTTTGAGAAACAGCTTAACCTACATGCAAGCAAAAATTGAAAAACTCCCTCATTTCAAAAAAAGAACATGGTTAATTAGTTATAAAAGAAAATATAATGAGAACCCCAGGAAGTCCCAACCCAAGTACTGCATTTAGAATACAAAGGAATAAGTCATATCATGGCAGTAATGTACAACTAATGGGAATATACAGAAGGAAATCATATTATGAATTGGTGACATAGCAGCTGTACTCATCATGGTAAAGATTTGGTCATCAAAAATATACAGCTACCAGACCAACCTACACATCTGCACTTCAGATATGATTCTACCTTAACCTATGGATGTGAAATCTAAAAAGCTAACAAAGAGATAATTAGCAAAGGTCTACATACATGCCTCAGGAAATCCTAGTTAATTCCATTAATAAATAGAATCGATTTATCAAAAATATCTCGTTTTTTTTTTAATTTGTAGCCCGGGTGTGCACAGGTTTGTACTTCCCTCTCCAATTGAGGGAATTATTGGCAGGGCAGTGTGCTGCGGGGAGAGACAACCACCCAGCAGCTGCTTCCATCCCCATAGAGTCAGGTCCAGTCAATCAGTTACTTAACTATATACAGATTTATTATTACAATGAAACCATTAAAGGTAAGGACATAGATTTTATATATATATGTACAAATTTACAAAACAATAAACCCTATAATACATATATATACATATATATATACACACACACACACAGATATACACACACCCAGTTATCATTTAAAATACAGATGAACAATAGAACAAACGAGGCCAAAGGATATTGATTGGGCAACCTTATAACTCTATTCATATACAAACTATTACTTCAATTTATTCTCATAAATTATAAGACACAGCCCACAAATATAATCAGCAGTCCTTAGACTACCTGGGTGCCCTCCACGGCAGGGGCCCCACTTCCAATGTACCACTACAGGAAAGGAGGTGGGAGAAAGAAAAAGGAGAGGAAGACCCCAAAGACTCCTAAGCTCCCCAACTATTACCCAGGAGCAGCCCTTGTGGTGCCCCTTGGCAACCCTCACTGGGGGTGGGGGGGGTAACTTATTACTCCACAGTCCTGAAGGGTTGCTTCTTCTTCTCTAGGTCAAGCTCTGTTCCCTGCCAGGTTTTCCTGCCACCTGACTCTGCTGCCACCATCCTGGCTTATGGCCACATGCACTGCTGTCTGTAGTGGGTGCTTCGCCTTGTGCTAGGGGTTGGAGGCCTGGACAGCCTTGTGCAGCACCGGGGCTTGGTTTGTTTCCGGACCCTCTGGGCAGCGTCATCTGCATTGAGCTGCTGCCCTGTGTCAGCAGCCGTAGACCCAAGCCACCTCAAACGGCTCCCAGGGTGTCTCACCCTCTGTGCAGTGCCTCCCGCACCAAGCTCCCATCCTCGTTCCAGGGGTTGAGGACCTGAGCCACCCCAGGGGCTCCAAAGATCCTGTTCTGTGCACTGGCCTGTGCACCATGTCTCTGGCTGCATACCAGAGGTTGCAGATCCAAGCCGCCTCACACAGCTCCCAGGGTCTGGACACCGTGCGCCATGCTGCACCCTGAGAGCCTGACTGCTGGAGCCATCCGCCGCTCCCCGCT